TTTGTCGCGTATATTTATATGAAATTAACTTACATACACATAGTTACAGGAGCAGAAAGATCATGCTAATAAGGAAGTTAAATGTACTTCCATGGAACTGGCATGGAACTAAAAAAGTTGATTTTTTTTCTAGAGTTTCATTGGTGCCTGTCAGGGATATTTAATTGGTCAGCCCAATACTTCCCTCACTCTATATCAAGTGTTTTTCAGATATGGTCACTACCCAGTTGCAAGGAAAATGTTATCATAAGATGCGTTTGTTCTCTGTTTTATGCAGATGCCATTTGATACTCTGCAGATTAGGGCGGTGGGGTAGCCTAGTGGTTAAAGCGTTCGCTCGTCACGCCGAAGGCCCGGGTTCGATTCCCCACATGGGTACAATGTGTGAAGCCCGTTTCCGGTGTCCCCCGCCGTGATATTGCTGGAATACTGCAAAGAGCGGCGTAAAACAACACTCACTCACTCTGCAGATTAAGTGGGAAGATTGGAACTACAACTTAGTAGTATGAGTTACGTTTGCCAGAGATCATATACCGTTTTGTAATAGATTGCTTTTATGTTTACAAATAGAAATAGAGATTTTCCAGGAAAAAAGGAGGACGCCCTCGAAACTCTGTATTAGCGAGGTCTTCAAATAAACACTATTTCACCATAATCCGAAGATCTCTCCAAGCTATGTGATCAGATATGTTGACAATGGTTTTGTTAAACTTGATAAAGGACTTTTTTATGTTCCGCTCTGAAGAAGATTGTTAAAGGATCTTTGAAACTAAAACGCATAAGGTACCTACGCTTTGTGCATCCGAACAAGCTGATGAAAAATAATTAAACCCAGATGTACTCCTATGTACCTCCAAGCAATATTACACCTGATTATTCTTTAGCTTTATGGTATGATTAAAAATAGCAACGAAGATTGTGGATGATCAATAAATTATTGTACAATTGAAAAACGTTATTAACGACCCAGAGTTCATGTGAATGAACTAGTTTTTATAGCATTATTCAAAATGTAAAAAAGGTGCCTCCAAAATATAATAATATCAATATTATATTGAAAGTAAAGTTTTAGCAATGATATATTAATTTGAGAATATCTATCCTGATAGCGGTTATATATATGACACTTTTCACATCTAAGTTTCATACTTGCGCTTGGATTTGAAGACCTGAACAACATACCTTTACGTCTGTGGAGATAGAAAATCTTCCAAGATACAGGCTGAATTCTATGCACAATACAGCTTGTATCACTAACACGTTGGAACACGTTGTCAGACATTCAACAGAATGTTGGCTTAATGGAGAATGAGTGAGTTTCGTTTTACGCTACACTCACACAGCAATCTCCAAGCTATATGGCGGCGGTCTGTAAATAATCGTGTCTGGACCAGACAATCCAGTTATCGACAGCATGGGCATCGATCTACGTAATTGGGAACCGATGACATGTGTCAACCAAGTCAGCGAGCCTGACCACCCGATCCCGTTAGTCGTCTCTTTCGACAAGCGCATGGGTTACGGAAGATCAATTCTAACCCGGATCTTCACGGGTCCTTAATGGAGAACAATGTTTGTCCCGACTGTATCAAACCTTCATTACATCACCCTCAACTGATGCCACATGTAATGCGATGGTATTGTTTAACAATACAATCTTTACATTATGGGTCATACGAGTGAGGTTCTAGGGTATCTTTTACTTGTCATGATAACAACTTAACCTTATGATATGAGCATGTACGAGGATGAAGCACAAAAGTGTGATTCAAAACAACTTTGTTTCAGTAAAACCCAGAAACAAGTCCATCACAAAATGAAAGTTACAAGTGAATTATAGGGCAATTGTGAGTCGAGGGAAGAGCTTTTTATACCTAAATCCAATATAAAACTGAGTTTGGGTGAAACGCAGTGGTGGTACGATCATAGGGGATACCCTAATTTATATCCGCGTTTATATAGGTAGTACATCTAAAGTATTATTTATTGCCTCTGTTAACGTAATGAACAGTTAATGAAGGCTTGATGCAACCGAGGACAACGGAGAGGCAAAACAAAATCATCACTTACGAATATGGACATGGTGCAGACAAACCAACTTGGGATTCGAACCAAGATTGTCTCGATCGGATCCTGACCGATGGATCCTGACACAGCTTTGCATATAGGACATACAAATAGCCTCCCCATATCAGCTAAAAGACGTAATTTATCATTACAGAATTGCAGTGATTTAGACTACGCCATCTGTAAGCAGAATGAACACAACAAATATGAAAGTTGGAAATCTGTCTTTATTATCGTGTTAAAAGGTTTGTACTGTTTCACACTCATTCAAGTGAAACCTCAGAATTGCATTCGAAGATGGTAAATGTAAAACGTCAGTGCAAAGCCTGTGTGTAGCAGTGAAAAAAGGGGAAAACGAGCGCCTTGAGCATGTACCAGTTGCGTGGATATGTGCGCTATATAAATACCCCATGATGATGATGATACCAGTGTTAAATAAGGTTTTAAATAAAACAACACATAAGACGTACACACGCATTATATTTTGCATTATGGCAGCCTTTCCACATTCTACAAAACCCATTTAAGAGTATGATTGCATATCTATGTAATAGGCATGGTACAGGTAACTGAGCCTCTTCTTTTCCACCACATACAGATAAAACAAATGTATTACGAGAAAGCGTCATGTCAAGGACGCGTCTTCAGTGTCATGGGCGGCCCTGAGGCTTCAATTTCTTAATTATATTCTTTGTTCTTTATTTTTTATTCGCAGAGTGTATGTAGGCCATCGGCCCATAATACAAATATTAAATGTTTGCAGCCATATATGATTGGCGGTGTTTTACAGCATAATAATTAACATTGCTACATTTCTGATGACAAAGGTATTGTTTGAGGTCATCAATATATTGAAATTTGACAAAGAAGGGTATGTGTAAAACTTGGCAGGAATATATATAGTGCGCAAGGAACTGTATGCTACTCGTTTTCTATATATCCATTGTCGCACATGTTACATAACCTGTGATGTCTGGGCTTATTTGTGTATCTACCTGTCTCAATATTTAATTGATGGGAACCACAGCGAAACTGTGTGAGTGCAATGCGAAATTTACTAATGTTAATAACACTAAGATATGGCTCCATAGATAGATTACACTTGAAAAGAGAATATGAATAAGTTTTAGAACTTGATGATAACGAGTTATGCCATTCTTGATGGGATATATGCTGAGCCCTGATCATAAATTCAGACAGGAAGGAATTTAAGCTACTAATATACTGTCTTTCCCATATATATCCAAATCCCATATTGTAAAGTAATAATTTGTTTTACCATGGCTATCATCTAACAATAATAAGTCAAGGACGCGTCTTCAGTGTCATGGGCGGCCCTGAGGCTTCAATTTCTTAATTATATACAGCACTGAACATTGGTCAAATGTGGTTTTCAGTAAACAAAGATCTGGGAACACGGAAGGGAAGGCACTGCTTGTTCTCGTCTCGACTGATGTCGGTTTATCAATACTTGCCCATAGGTACAAAATTCTGACAAGCGCTGTGTTCGAACTACTGAACACTGATCTCCAGGCAGACGCTCATTCCTCTTGAACGATTCTTCATTGTGGGAGCATTCAACGGCAGTTTTGGTATTGCCTAAAACATCTTACAAATAATATCAGACATGATGTGATGGATTATTATGACAATAGTTATTGTTTTAGGCATTGCTTCCTTCAGTCTAAAGGAAATGTTTTTATAAATTAATACATATCACCCTAGCGTGTATATATGTTTACTTAAGAATATGAGGGAAAGGTACATTGCATTATGCATGTACATACTATAAGCGGAATCTATCATTTGAGGACAATACCCTTCGATTCAAATGGCACTTTAAACTATTCCTCTCACCTTGAAATCTGGTTAAGTTCATTACATATAAACCACACCACACTTTGTTCCAATATCTCAAGTCACATTGAAATGTTAATGGTCGTGTTCATAAAAGATATTCACATTTATACTCTCTGAAAACGTGTTAAAGTGTAAAATTGGTACTTGGGAGTTTTGTAAATCCCAAAAGGAACAGAGGCTTAGAATGGTTTAACTAAGCATGCAGATTATGACAAATAAGACACTTGCCATGTTCTCAGCATCCCAAAGACCAAACAGTGTCGAACATAGACATTAAAAGGAAACACTTATAAATGTGCCATTGTCAGCAGGACTAAATACATTCGTGCCATTGTTATGGATAAGATCGTGAGTGTGAAGGTGAATGGGGGAAAGACAATTGCATTCCACTAATTGTGATAGATTGAAACAACACTTGTGATATGAGCGAGTTTAGTTTTACGCCGCACTCAGCAGTATTCCCGTTATATGGCGGGATATTCATTTGGCGATATGCAGCTGACAAATTCGCCCTTTGGATATCACTGCATGCGAGATGGTTTCAGGTTTATAACTGCCAGTATCTGTTATTCTAAAGAAACGCGAAGCAAATCTTAGAACGAGAAATATAGGTATGTTATCACGTCCAACTAACGATGAGGACAGACGTTTACATGACTTCTTATGAACTGACTACCATTTCTCTTTATCACCACCCCTAAACACAACTCATGGGATGCACGTGCACAACGTAGTATCCCCATACACGTGCATGGGGTGTCATTCTTGATTTTGACGTTTTTCAAGACGGTTATTAGACCATTAATTTTGACAATCATTTTACATCACACAGTTGTTAGTGTCTCATACGAAATAACAAAATCATATTCGCTCAAAATGACACTCTCCAGTCATTAAGATTGGAGCGGTGTGGTAGCCTGGCGGTTTTTTAAGTGTTCCAAACATAGCTATCATGGACATACATATTTGGAAGTGCACCCACAAAATCGTTTAGCATGTTTTAGTCATGCCAAATACATATATGGAAGTGCACCCACGCGTTTAGCATGTTTTAGTCATGCCAAATACATATATTAGTCATGCCAAATACATATATTATTGCTTTGCTTTATGTGAAACAAGTATATCGCCACAACCTATATATAAGCATTTGTTTTGGTTAAACCATAAAAACCTGATTTCAATTTAATGCTGTGCGACTGTGTAATCTAATACTCAGCCTCACAGAAAACTTGAAATGTCTGCGGTAAAGACGATCACCGCGGCATGTTTCCAATTAACTCATTCACGTAGTTGCTGCATGTTAACGACCCGTTGCTGTCATATTACCCAAAACTATAGGAAACATCCAAACCTAGTCATACACGATTTCAAGCCTTAGGGCATTAAAACCAGTGTCATCAATGAACAACATTTACAATTATTTCAATCGTTATAAATATAAGAAAACGATGGTCATATTTACACACCTGTCACATTTGTTCATAATCTCCCAAATGTCCTGTAAATTCATGACCTGCATGACGAATGAAATTGTGGCGGCCAAATGACACGTACATTTCTCACGTTGGTCACGCGGGCCTCGAATGACACGTGTAGTTCCACGTATGGTTACTTTTATCCTTCGTCTGGTGATCTGACCTGTTATGGTTAAAATCGTTATTATTTCACAGCTGTTGGCTTATCCCCACGTGTGTGGGTCGTCGTAGACAAGGAACAAGATCATCTTCCTCGGTGACATGGTTCCCAGTCCCTGCCCAGGGGTCCAATGGAGGTTACTGTCAGCTGCCCCAGCTTGTCCACCAACAGGTGCTGCCTCATAAACGCCTGTGGGATTGCAAGTGGAGCAGTCTTTGAACCACCAGCCTGACTGAAAGTCCTGAGCACAGTTCCTGACACTGTTGTCATTGTCACGGTCCGGGGTGCTGAATGTGGAGCTTTTCAAGGGTCCAAGGCAGTCTTCCAAAGAATGTGGAAATTGGTCATGTGTAAAATGATTGCCGAATGTTAGTTGGTACTTACTGGCTTCATCTCCGACAATAAAGTCCTCCATGTAATATTGGTTATAGCCAGAATTCGGGACGATCTCAACCATTAGTGAATGTTTCCTGCTGCTGGAGATATAGTGGATGTAGTCGTTGCCAAGCCAGTGATTCCCCATTACGTTCCCGAAACCTTGCTTGTAGTCCTTCCAGGAACGATTGAAGCTCTCACTATCATCCTCTTGTTTGAGAATCATGGTTCTGCCCCCGTAATGCATTTCGCAAAATACAGTGAATGGTTGTGGAGCGAGGCTTGGCTGCATAAGATATTTAGCATGCTTGCCGTTGTAATAACTGACGCCGTCTGAACAGTCTGAAACAGATCGACACAAAATAGTGAGATTCAGGAGAAACTAAGGCATGCAGGTATTCATGTTGACTATAAGTGAGGATTTGTCAGACAGACCAATCTTCGAACGGTCTCACTTTACAGACAGACCAATTTTCGAATTCACGACAACCCAATCCTCATTCGCCGACTCCGAGGACACATAGAGGATTCTCTTTATTCCCAACTCCCAGCGGTAACCTGACATAGCTTAGGTTTAATTATTCGATTCAGTTAAGAATTGACTTCAGTGTGTTGTACGTTAGTGGTGGTGTACATTGCCACAATGCTTACAACTTCACTGTTGTTTTAAACAACAACACGAAATCAGTGACCAATTAGCGCAGCAATGCAACAAAACAAGGAAACAAATGTTCTTTAACAGGCTTGGTCAATATAAACTGACGAACAAAAGATAGACTAAGTACACTTCTGGTGCTTAGTGATTATTTTCAAATGTTACGTTATTTGTGATATTATTCATATTTAATTGTGTCATGTTGGTAATGACTCCGCACCATATCCCAATGTAGAGAGCGGTGATATAATTGAATCTGTTATTCATATTAGCAGTAGATGACATTATCATGTGTCAAACTGGAAAGTTTTACATCAGTAATGGTGACACAATAAATTTGACCTGCTGAGGTGAAGTTAAGTGAAGTGAGAGGAGGTGAAAAGGGGTTTATCGTCGTACTTAAGAATATTTCCCTATTATGACGACGTGCATGCGTGTGTATGCGTGGCTGCTTGTACTAGTCCACACGTAAGCTGGTTTTATGGTGCTAGCTCACTGAGATACCATGTCGCAGTTAAGCATGAACACCCTATTCAGATACATTATACTGACTCCGAGCCGACCAGTCCTTGTTTCAACCATTAATGCCGTGCGCCAGGCAGAGACCACCAAGTACCATATTTTAATGTCTTTTGGTATCGATTCTTGAAGAGTATCGATAAGGGAATGAACTCAGGCATGACGATGGAGACATACTGCTAAGAGACCGTACGTATTTTATGGCAAGGGGGTGTGGTGACCCCCACTCCTCCCATGCATGTCAACTACAATATCAATGACGACATCCCACCACCCCTAGTACATGTGTACATTATTGATGACCCCCCTACCTCCCCAGGGGTCCCTAAACCCCTCGGAGGGTCATCTTCGACTGTAAATGAGGTTGTAAGGTGGAGATGTCGTGCACCATGCGCATATAAGGCTGAGTATGAAGACGTTACAGTCGTTTTCAGATGTTTTACTGCACTGGTGAAGCCCCAACAAGCACACGTTCATCTACTGTTTTAAAATGCCTTTCAAAGAAGAAATGCCACTCAAAGAAGTTACTGTTTAGAAAGTTGTAAAATTTTAATCAGACAGTCTCAGATATGCTTTCTATACCAAGAGTTTTCAAGGCCCACTTACGTTATGCAAATAAAATATGTCTTTTCTCAAAGTTTTGTTTCAACACATAATAACTCCTCTCTTTTCTGGCCTGGGAGCCATCAAAAGATGGGCCTTAACATTCTTAGTTCCTTACACCATGAAACCCTTAGGACAAGTAATGTTTGTATTGTGGCAATCCATATTTTACAGGCCATAGTAACACGGACAAAGTGCTATAGGATTCAAGTTCATACTTGATCGCGTTTGCACGGAAGACCAAACTGTCTTCAAGCAGAACATCACACCCAAATGATATAATCGTTGGTTCGATTCCCGTCACCATTACGTTTCTTGGTTTGTCAGCACCATGCCCACACCTCCGATTTTCACGAAAGCGGTAAAGGTCCTAGCCATGTATTACTTCGGTCTTTCATCCCATGCACCCGGGTTAGCATTGGTCTTCAGTAACCCATGCTTGTCGTTAGACCGATCGGGTGGTCAAGCTTGCTGACTTGTCATCGATTCCGAATTGTGTAGATCGATGCTGTTGATCACTTCATTGTCTGTCCAGATTATTTACAGACCGCCGTCATATAGCTAGAATATTGCTAAGTGCGGCGTTAAACAACAATCAAACCAAACCAAATCTATTTACAACTATCCCTACTAATTTTGGAGTGTATATATGACGCTTCAAGAAAGGAAAGCCCAAATTGCCACAATGGCGACGGCCTTGTTTAAAAGCGTTACTTTGTTACTCACAACACAAGTGTGATAGATTCACCAGTGTATTTCTGGTGCCTACCATCCCACCCTTGTTCATCGGCTGAAAATCTCATAAACATATACAGGTAAATATGATAAACATTACTAAACGTTAATAATCTTTGATTTTTGGCAAGGTGAATATTTGTTTGACTTTATTTTCTTATCACTTTGCAGAAAGGCGCTGCCACCCTGATGTTAAATGGCCGGCATCTAAGTATCATGTGAAGTTTTCAATGCTCACCTGTCATTAACCTCTCACACCTATTTCCAAGGTAACCGTTATAGCACACACAAATGTCTGTGCCGGCATTATAATCGCCACCATGTTGACAAGGGTTGTATATCTGAAACAAAGTAAAACACGAGTGAATATATTGCTAGACCGTCCGTATAAACGCTCTTTGAACATGCTTTCAGTTATATAACAACCCATGATGTGTATCACTGGATTATCTGGTCCGGGCTCGATTACTTTCCGACCGCCGCCATATCGCTGGAATATTGCTGAGTGCGGCGTTAAAAAACGAAACAAAATAATTTAAAACAACTTGTCAGTACTTGTGGAAAGCTCACACAGTGATTCAAGTAGATGGCATTCGCCACTATCTAAAACAACACGAAGACGGGATGGAAGCGAAATGATCCCAAACAGGAAGAAAAAGAAAGGGAGAAAAATACCCTAACATCTAGAACAAATGTGGTGAACCACTTATTGTCACGTTCATGTACCAAGAATCAAAACTACAGAATGTTCGGATCGGGGAACGAATACGGGTTTCAAATGGTCGGCTTGCATATCATTATTAAGGTTGACCATCTTGTAACAGGTTAAGAGAAGTACCAAGAACTATACATGTCGCATGACGAATCGTGAAAAATACAAACATGTAAGGTTTGTTGAGAAAGTAAATGCATAACTAGACGAATTTATTCGAAATTTATAGAGTACAATTTTATTCGAACAGTATAGAATAAAATACGTCGCTGGTACAACCACATATTCATGACAGAGTAAAAGTTCCACGGCCAAGAAACCGTGGCACGTGTTTACCACTTTGGGAATACGATACTTTTGTGCAATCGGGAAGGTTCTCTTGCCATATTCTATGTGTGAGAAATGTCCCAGACATCGAAATGTATGAAGTGGTCATGCCCCTTCAGGAGTCCACAAATGGGATTAGGTAGCCATACAGTTTCGGATCAATACAATATAATGACGTCGATGAGTGAATTCATGAGGTGTAATGCAATAAGCAGGTACACGGAAAAGTATATCATTCGTGGGGATCTATGGTCAGTAATCAAGGTATAGATTTCTATGAATGATATTCCAGTTTTCGGATAGTATTGATCTCCAAATCTGAAGAGTCATGACATAAGTGGATAAATCGTTATATAAAGACACCCAGAACACGAGAATTGCCTTTACTGAAATTGATCTTCAAGGTATTCTTATCGTACACGGACTATATAGTAGTGGTATGTTAAGAGTCACATTAAAGATCTGTTGTATGGTTTACAGTCAGCTCAAGGAAGGCGGCGGATAGAGTGCATTAGCGTTATTATATGTGTTTGACAGAGAACATCAATGGGTAATACCGTTACAATTGTGTCAATATCTATTGGCACACATAAACATAATCGAAAATGTCTCTGAAATAACCTCTGTTAGAGAGTTACCTGTTAACAGCTTTAATCAAGCCTGATACCCCACCTGTAATCATACTGTGACCGTAGTTGAATAGGTATGAAGTATCCTATTTTAGACTGTATAGAGCATAGTGATACATTCCTGTTGCTCACCTAGATATGGAGTCAACAGCATTATAAGCTGCTGTGCTCAATGGTATTGTAATATTGTGATAATAAATACTAACACTTAACACTAAAGGGGCGGTGGGGGTAGCCTAGTGGTTACAGCGTTCGCTCGTCATGCCGAAGACCAGGATTCGATTCCCCACATGGGTACAATTGTGTGAAGCCCATTTCTGGTGTTCCCCGCCGTGATATTGCTGGAATATTGCTAAAAGCGGCGTAAAACCACATTCATTCACTCACTCACTCACTCACACGCTTAACACTAAAACCTAAAGAATTGAACACAGCATCATATCACCATAAGATGAAACACATACACGTAGAACAAGGTATCACAACACTTGATTGTTTACCTCCATATAGCCACATATATTCATATCATAATTCTGTGTGTTTGTATGATTAATTTGACACTGGGCGCACCCTGCATTGATATTTCGATATGCACATGCTACGATGAAAGAACAATACGTGTATCCGTTTTTAAATAAATATTTAGTTTCAGCAAACGGTTCTTACAGCTGGACAACTTGGAAACTCAATTGATTTCGTTGTTGAAAACTGCTCAAAATAGCAAGTTATTGGTATGCGGGATGCTGCTGTTTCTTTGGGGGCTATCTTTCATCGACTATCAGCCGATTGGCCAGAAAACATCAGCAAACTAATGACGTTAGGGACCGCCAGCGTTCAGGTTGACCTACGGAGGATGCATCCCTTCTCAGAACCATAAAACGTCATCCGTTCTTATCAAGTGGCGTATCAAAACCGGAGTGGTTTCCACACAGTCGTTTGTCTGATTAAACGGTCCGAAATCGCCTAAAATCGTCGGCCAAACGACCTTTCAAACTTCCCATACAGCATGTTTGAGACATTATGGGTCACGGAATACGCCAGATCGATCTCCAAGTACTGTATTGGAACAAACCCACAACGTCAAATTCAACGTCTGAGCGTCAGGGATGTTATTGCAGTTGGCAGAGGTAACACAAGATATTGAGCTCGGTAGTTGAGCTCGGTAGTTGATACTGATGTGATCGCTCGACGATCGTATGTGAGAATCTTGAAAATGACCGCCCTTGTTAACATCATACGTTCTTTGTGCGTTTATATTTTACGTTCAATGAGTCCTTGAGGTCAGTTCATCTATATAGATAGTAGGTGAATTGAAGTTCGGATAAATTCCTTTACTGTGGTAATCGGTAACATATTTACACTATACAAATATGCGACGTTGAGATACTTTTGCCATGTGTATGCATGGCAAAGCTAGCTACCTTAGTTTACAATTTCAGCATGATATGTATTTTATGAGAATTTACGAGCATGATCAAAACACGACCGAACGTTAAAATATTTAAAAAAAGAGTATGTTGAATCGTTCACCCAACAACATTTATTCCAAGCTTAACTACATTATGAACAAATAGATAACTGGTGCAATCGACGACATAAAATCACGTAGGACCTTTCATTTGTACCGAGCGACCTTGTGATAAAGCACATCTTAACCTTTTCCCTGAACTACCTTTCCTTTTCAATATTCTCATATTCCAAGATAAATATCTTAAAGGTCACATGCAACCAAAAAATCAAACATAATTAAAACACAATTATCACTTATTCATGACATATAATATACATTGCTGGTTACGAAAAAATATATACACAAAATTATAAGCGTACAATCGCAAATCGAAAGTGCAAAATTGTGTACTTCGGTTTACTTCCCAAGAAACGAAGCAGCCGGGATACCGAACCCAGTCAGAGCGGGTGGGTGTGCACTCAAGTGTAACGGCTGGTTCATTTGCAGATGCCTTCACGGCCAGTTGTGTGTATATATATAGAGAGAGATGTTTGGTTTTGTAAATACATGCCCATTTTTTGTGTATAACATTTTGTAATCAACAGACATCATAACATGTCATGTGTTCAAGTATCACACCTGCCTGTCTGTGTAATTACATAATGTGACAGAGACCGAACTCGGGCCATAAATCAATGCATTTTGTTTATGGTGTATAGCCTGATTGGTGTTAAGTTCAAATTGCATGTGGTCAGTGATAGCAGCTGTGTATTGAATATTGTCATTAGCAGACAGGCAGGCAGACACACAGGTGTCAATAAAACAAGACATTGAGTTTTGTCTGTGACAACGACATATCTATATCACAGTTAGAAATTCTGTCAACGCTAAATAATGACATTGCTTTTAAGTATCGAACTGAGAAAGTGTCTCGGTAAGAAGAACGTGTGGTGAAATAGACAAATGAAATTATATAAACAGTTAATTTACTGTCATAACATATATAAAAAGCTCGCGCCTGTGAGATATCAACAAAACATTAGAAAAATAGCTCACACCAAAGCCTTCACCGAGTATTCACCCGACAACCCGCTTCCAAGCTGCGCGAACCTATTTACTTGCGCACGTGCTATGAGCGCAGCCCAGCTGTTGAAACCCGTTTTGCCCAGAAAAGTCTGGGGAAAATTAGTGAATCGTTTGAACTCCGATTTCGCGCGTTTTTTTCATCGCGTTATTTTTCATTTTTATAAGTTGAATTTGCATTTTTGACGATTTGTTTCGGTATGTCCATACCGAAAGGTATCAGAATCTGCAAAGTTGTGTTTTACGTTGCATGTGACCTTTAAGAACTTTTTACCTCATACCTAACCCATCTTGCATTTTGCAAAGGCTTCTGGTAATGAGTGCGTGGGTATGGTTTTACGCCGCTTTGAGCAATATTCCAGCAGGACGACACCAGAAATGGGCTTCACACAATCTACCCTTATGGGGAATCGAACCCAGGTCTTAGGCGTTGCAGGCAAACGCTTAAACCACTAGCCTACCCCACCGCCCCTGCTTCCTGCACGAAACCTCATTGATTATGACAGGAGTTACGAGTCACAAAAGGGGTTGGGGTATGGGAAGTGTGTATGTGCGTGCGTGCGTGCGTGCGTGCGTGCACGTGCGCGCACTCACTTCACATTTCAACATCCAGCACAGAGCCATTAATAAAATAATCGTACCGGAATATATATGCATAATTACCATTTATGATTCACAACAAAAATCTTTTCAGCTTACGTTGAGATGGATGCCCGCTCACAGGAGAGAATAGACCTTCATTATCTACTGCTTAATTATGGTATTCCCTTTCATTTTCAAAGTCCACGTTAGCGCGAACTCAAATGATTAGTTGGTAAATATAATTCACATAAAATAATCTTTGCTCAGCAACATTTGATGTTAATTTGAACAATGTTATGTCTTTGATGTGATTGTCAAAATGTCATTTACAAAATCTGAGAGAATACTCTGACATGATAGTGCATTAACTGATTTTGTTAAAACTAGAAACGAGATGTTAAATTTGAATAATGTCTGACGTGCATTAGTGCAGAGATTATGCTGCTGTAAGACAAGTAAAACGCCTTAAAAGAAATGTGTTATTTATTAAAAGAATCCTTGATAAGACGCCTGTTGCGGACGTTTGCCTCGGTGGCATGGTAAGGCCGAACCAAGGGT